CAATGAAAACACGGATTCTAGGAACACAAGTATAGCTCAAATATATTTAGACTTTTTCTAAGTATAAGTCAAGTATACTTAAATGTCATTTTAAATATATTTCTGAGAAGTACATAAAAAGTAGACTAAAAGTATACTTTCCTATTTTTAGTTTAAAAGAAGTATATTAATAGCACACTTGAATAAACTTCTTTTTCGTAAGGGAAGTAATAGGCTAATAAGCTAGAAAACCGCGCGCTTTCAAGGACACGCATTTAATACATGGGCGGAATGCAGCGCCGCGTTTAGAACAACTCACAGGTATTGTACCCAATTCAAGACAGCAGTCCAAAACAGTTCATATAGCCTAGAAGTTCCCTTCAGGAATCAACAAAGTTGCATGTTTGACAAAACAGAGCAAATGGAAAGAGAAAGAGAAATCGCAATCTATGGCTATTATTAGCTCCCTATATAAAGCATACAGACAGCGGAAAGATACACAATCTTCCAGCCTAGGATAAAGTCATTATGAACATAAACAATAATTTGGGACAAATCCAATGTGATTTTATGGTAAAAAATATGTAAGTGGCACTCTGGTGCAGCAGGATTTGGAGCATCCTGAGCCGCTGCGGACAGTTTTTAACTTTAAATTAATGTTGCTCAACTGAAGGTACAAATCAAACTGTTAGCTGAAATATCCACAAAATAAAAAACAACACTGAAATAAGAGCGTGCGGTTTATCGGTCAATCAGATGCGCATGAAAGTTGTGTTCCTTGGGTTTATGTCCCCACCAATGTCAAAAGCAAACCTACGCCCTTGATAGCAGCTATACATAAAATAGGCTTGTAACTGCAAATATGTAGAGCCAAAATATGGCACAAGACGCCAAATACAAATAGTACTTCCCCAGATGTGCCTTTTACATTTTTCAGAACGTTAATTGACTTCATTAAAAGAGGAAGTTTCTTGGTCGCCGTGATTTTGCCAAGTAAGACATGTTCCTGGATCAACATCTTTTGTTGATCCTGGATCAACATTACTGTACAAAAATATAGACCTAACCCAATCCCTACCCCTAAACCTAAACCTACCCATAATTTATTCCTAAAATCAGAGGGAAATGATAGGTGAATAAGGAGGGTGTAGAAGCATCTAACCCTGACTGTAAGCCTAAAACTGACATTTCTTGAAAACTAATCCCTCAATTCTGATTGGTTAATTGGAATGTTATTCCAGGATCAACAAGGATGTTGATCCAGGAACATGTTGCACTTGGTGAAATCATGGTCACCGAAGTTTCTTACAGAAAGTGTTGTAAAATTGATTTTTAAAATCAATGGGCATCAATATTATTTTCTAATTTCCATAAACTTAAAGAGTACACTCCAAAAAATGCTGGGTTAAATATAACCAAGCGCTGGGTTAAAAAGGGACAAACCCAGCTATTGGGTTGTTTTGACCCAGCGGTTGGGTTATAACAACCCAATAGCTGGGTTTGTCCCTTTTTAACCCAGAGCTGGGTTATATTTAACCCAGCATTTTTTAGAGTGTAAAATGTTCATTGGATAAATTTTGTGTAGCCTAATATCTTTTGAGATTTCTCGAAATATTTATCCCCCCCCCCCGCTTTTGGGGTGAAATGGACATGTGCATTGACAGATTTAATGAGACTCCCTTTTTATTAATGTTCTGTTAAAATGTCTACTGCATGCATCTCCTTCCCACTCACTGCCTCTGTCTGTCCCTCTCCCTCTCCTGTAGATAATGCTGTCATTTCCAGATTGTGGGCCTTCAGACACTGTTCTCCCCAGCCTTCAGCCTCTGTTAATGGCTATACGAGAGGAGCGTTACACACATGCACAAGAATTCCACATCTGGAGTCTGTCTCTCAAGCAAAAAGATATAGTTGAGCTGGTGAGCACCGATCCCACTTTACTGTATATCCTAGTTTTGTGATTGGCAGTTATGCAAAATCATGTAGTCTCAGGATGCTTGCTCCAGCACACAAGAGAGAGAAAGAGTACACCAGGGCAGCCAAGTCTGCTGCAATACAACCCAAACCTTCCTGTGCAAACAAAAAAATGTTTGTTCAGCCACATCATTCACAGTAAGATATGTGTCCTTTATTTCAGCAGTAAATGGTAATGAGGCATAACTGTTAACATTTTATCTTAACACCCGATCAGTTTAGCTGTGGAAAGAGTTCTGCATTACACAACAATTTCAGATTCCAGAATATTTTTTTCTGTCATCTCGGCATTTTGTTGCAAAACATTTTGGCTTTACATGTTAAATGCACCTGCTTTCTCTTTCTCCCTTTCCATAATTCACATTCTTTTTGTCTGTGCATTTCCACACCATTTTACATAATTAAGACAATAAAAATTTAAAGAGAATTAGATGTCTTTAAAAACATTAATCTGTATATCTTTTAGGATCAATTTCATGATACTTTTATGCAGGTTCAGAAATTAACTTTTCCATTAAGGGACAGTATTTGCATAATGGAATTGATTTCTTGATTAAAGGTTTTTCAACAAGTTCTTGTTGAAAATACTGGTCTGTATTTGAAACAAGAACCGCAATACCTCTGAGGCTATGGCAGGTTGTCAAACCCATGAAGACGTAATGAAGACAAGAGATTTACTCAGCTACTGCCAAATTTTTGATTATTTTTCCAGCACTATAAGACGTGTAACTTCTGTAGGAACTTGATAGAAACCTGAGAGATGACATCACATGATAAACAATATTTTTTATTTATTTAAAACTGATATATACATTATGTAGGCCTATCAGCAAACATCTGAAGCCAACTTGCAGTGTTCTTACAATTTTTCAGCTTTGTTTTGAGCCAGTGGGGGCTTTGAGTTCCAAGGCCCTCAATCTGAAAATAGCCTAGCAGGTTACAGATCAACTCTGCTCCAGGAAAGACACTGTCCTGTAGATCTTAATGTGGAACTTGGAACTTGAAGACTTAGTTTAAATTGTTCAGGTGTTTAATTTTAGTTGGAGAACAGTGGCCCTCATATTTTAATTTCAACTGTAGATGTAGATATTTCTATGTACATCACTTGAATTTGTGCTGATAATATCATAAAATGCACAGCATTACTAAAATCAAATTCAAACAGCACACTTAAACTTCACAATAAATAAGTTACATGAAAAATCCATCAAATCAATAACTTCTGAGTTGATGAAGTATATTTTAGAAGTATACTTCAGGTTTAAAACCAACAAATCAACCATGGATCACCTCTTAAATGTATAGAAATGGCCAAGTTTCTGTTTCCAAAATTGTGTCAATTTAGCAAAATTATGCTGTAATATCATAGTGTTTCATAAACCACTCATTTCCTAAACCACACTGTATAGCCGTTGAAAAGGCCCCTCTTCAGACAGCGCATGCTTCTGCAGGTTATATGTTATGGCTACTGACACACTTTTATTATCCTGCGGTCCACACCCATTTTCATTCCCTTCCAGGGGCAACATGTTCACACTTCAGCTCATATAAATCGGAAAAATCTGTCCAATTAAAGGGTGAGATTTACTTCCAGAACAGCTTTGATGCTGTGAAAATCACTGCCATATGCCACTGACCTGCAGACAATGAATGTAAGGAAAACAATATGGTGGATAAGCATGCAATTGAATTTCTGCACTTGAATGCTGTTAGGACAATCCTAACATATCAATTTGGCACACACACAGATTTATATGTGCCGGTCAGACGGTTATAACAATAAGTGCCTGGGAGTTCTATAAGAGGTCCTCATTTTTTAAGATGTTGATGAGATTCTGGGAGGTTTTTTTTTCTACTGTAGATCATCACTAATCTATGGAATGGCGTTCGAGGCGAGCTTCATATAGGCTACAATAGATACCTGTATGTAATTATTCTTTTTCTCACAGTTAGATAGCGATTACACACAGCTGTTTTGTCAAGAACTGCATCTTTGATCTCTGTGTATTTATTTCATTAAGCCAGTTGAGTGACGTCTTCCTAATTGCTTAGCAGTGACTGTGAGTGCACAAACCAGCCTTAAATCTCTATGACTATGATGGAAATTGTGCTATCATGTGGTCTTTCTGTTGTGTGCATAAGAAACAGTTGTATTATTAAAAGAAAAATGAAGTTGCACTGAATGAAACAAATTTGTACATTTTCTGTAGAAAAAGTATGTGTTGTCTGCATGTGCAAAACTCACCATCACAAAATGTTATGGGTGGCTGCCAGCACATTGTTTTAATGTAAATGCAGGTGACTGTGTGCAAAATAATAGTAATTGTAAAATCCATGATTGTCAATTCACCACATGAGATGCATTTCACCAACCCAGCTGTATAATTTAATGCACGTGTTTGTTCTGACAGTGTCTTCTTTTGGAGAAGAGGGGGAGGACAGTTTATCCCTTCAAATCACTGGAGCTACTTGATTGCAAACTAACTGAAGGGTCTCTGGAAAGACTGGGTAAGGCTGCAGGCATCAGCTACCTCACCACTCTCTGCCTGGACTACACACGGTGAGTGAACATCTGATTGTGTGAATGTCCTCAGATGCACTTTGAATTCCTGAAAGCTCGAGCAATTGCACAACGCTGTGCATGTGCAGTCATCACTATGATTGATATGACCAGTAAAATCTTCAGAATAGGCTGTGGGACATGGTTTGCACTTAACTGGTTTGGGAAAAAAAAAAAAAAAAAAAAAAAAAAAAAAAGTCACACAAAGTGTGTGCAAACCAACAATACTAGAATGCTTCCATTGAACTATAATTAAAGAAGCCATCACTGTAAATTACACCGATTCATAGTTAAGCACGGGCTCACTGAGAGTGTCCTTGTACGCTGCATTTACATTTTGTATACCACAAGTATTCCAGTTGGTCACTTCAAAGTGTACAGTATATTGGGTGTTACACTGTCTACATTTTAACATCTAGAAAATTAAGTACAATGGATGGTGATTGTAACAATGCTTTTAAAAAAAAAATAAATTGCAGTATCTTGATACAATCTCATTGTCACAGATCAAGCTGGAGACAACAGGTAAGTGAATGAAAGGCAGGTTTATTGACAGGTATGGCAAAGGCAGATAGTCTGGAGCAATGGCAGGTGAGAATTCAACACAAAGTAAAGTCCAATGATTCTTAGCAGTGTATTGATGTTTGGTTCTTTGCAGGTTCACGGAGAAAACGGAATCCAGGAGCAGAGGAGAACAACAATGGAAGATCTTCAGAGAACTAGAGGTAAGAATAAACAGGTAAGTTGCATTCAGTGAGTCTGGTAAAGTTCTGTGTAGTGAACGGTAGACCGGATGGTGAGTGACTGGAAGGAGCGTGCTTATGAATGGTAACTTGATTGCAGATGACAGGTGCGGGGAATCAGAACTCGGGTGATGGTGATCGTGACTGAGAACAGGTGTGAGCCGGGGAGGATTCTGGGACATGGAATCCAGAGCTGGTGATTCTGTGGTTCCGTGGCCTTGGCCTCGCCACTCGGCCTGGACACTACAGACAGACCCATACTACCCTCCCCCCCAAAAAATACTTGGAGAATAACAGGCTCCGACACCCTCTCCGGGCCAAAACCAGGGACTGGAGCCTTCTTTGGGCTTAACTGGGGATCAGGAGCCCTCCCTGGGCTTAACTGGGGATCTGGAGCCCTCCCTGGGCTTAACTGGGGATCTGGAGCCCTCCCTGGGCT